GCCTGCCAGTTGTCTCAGTTAAGGGAAATGGAGACCCGATTTGAGCAGCGTGAGGTGGAGAGAGAACAGGAGAGGATGAGGAGAGATCACATCCGTATAGAAATGGAAAAAGAACGTGAGAGGAAAAGGGACGAAAAGGACCGCGAGAGGGAGAGACGAATCGAGGATTTGCGCCGACGGAAGGTTCTAGAGTGGGAAGCAATGGAGAAAGAGAGTGAAGAACGAGAGAGACGGAGACGGGAGGAAGGACTAGTTTTGGAAAGAGAACGCGAGGAGAGGATAGATAGGAGGAAATGTGAGTCTAAGAAGCGGATAGAAGACATGATAAATCAACATCGGGCAGAAATGGGTCAGATTCAGAGTCGGATACTTCATGAGCAACAAAATCTTACTGCTCAGCTACTCGGGATTCTTTCCCAGTGGACAGGTCATCCAACTACGCTCGCGGATCATACGGGAGCTACCAATCATTACCTTTCACAGATGATGCAGAGTCTACACCATGTGAACACTATGATACATGAGGATGAGAGGGTTGAAGAAGACAATCAAGAAGATCACTTCATAGTTGATGGATGAATTAGCAGAGGTCAGTGACTTTCTCTTTCTGGCTTTTTCCAGTCATATATGATGTTGTGGTGCTTTTGTTGTACATAAGGATTCAATTGCAAATGAACTTCGCAGTGTTATCAATATAAATTCAATACTCCATGGGTTATTCAATCATCAATAAATAGCTTCACAGTTATTTATTTCAGTTATGCTCTATAAGTAAAGTGAATTATGAGTTATCAAGACTCTCGATTCAACAAATTTCTATATGCAGGAACAAATCAATTTATTTGATATTCATTCATATATAGATCATTGTATCTTTAAGGATGTTTTTACTTGGACTGTAATCTGTTCCAGACCAGATCAGACCAGACTTGGATAATTATAAAAATACAAAGAAACCAGACCAGTCCAGGCCAGATCAGAGCAGACCAGAAAATTGCAGTCCAAGTAAAAACATCCTAACAATGCCTACCATCTATATATATATTTAATCCTTGTTACAACCCTGATATAGACGGTCTCGGATAAGTTGCTTTTCCTTTCGAAGTTTTTTGAAGAGATTCCAGAGATTGGACTAGAACAAAACAGTTCTCTACAAGTAGGACTATAATATCTTTTTCTTAAATACTAGACTTATTCAGTCTAAAAGAAAGTGTTAACTACTTTTATTATTTATTTATGATGGAGATAGTCCTTTTTTTTGTAGAAAAGGGCTCTCTCCTACTTGTGCACATCATTCAAGTTTTACTCCTGTTTGCATTCATTTTTAAACAAAAAACAAGGTCAAACAAAAAACATCTTTCGCTGCTGGCCTAGTTAAACCGTCAGCCTTAACCGATTCACTCTGCTGAATACTTGAATGTTCTGAGCTTCTAACATTATATATTCTGAAATATTTAAGTAGTACGTAGTATATAGTAAGAAGAGAAATGTTTCATGTGCTTTTAATCTGTAAGGAACCAAAACTACCAGCGGGATGAGATGAGCATTTAATACTTACTTATACTCTTGTATTTCTTACCTAGTACTCCGAATGTGATTTGCAATGATCTGAAAAAGGTTATTTTCTTTCATTTGCTTAATGTTTCGTATTAATTTGGTGGTGGGGGTCCTTAATTGGCTAATTGCACTGGATTTGATGGTGCATCCTTAAATGTGATTTTTGCTTGTTGCAAACAGTGTTATTTGTTTTCGTCCCACTAGGTTTACTACGATCCTATATTTCGCAATTTACAATTTTGCAATCTTTTTGGTCTATACATAAAGCGCCATCATTCCATCAACCTTTGTTTTAAAGACTAGAGTACTAGACGTGACTCTCCACTCAAAACTTCAACTCTACTTTTCCAGTCATTTTGTTTTTACAAAATATTTATTTACATTATCCAAAAAGGACAGAGTACGCCAATAAGAAGTGGAAATATAGAGTTTCACTTGGTTGGGGGTTTTCGGAGGAGATAAAAATACTCCGTAGTATATAAAAATGCATGGTTTAATTAATTGTTCAATATATAGTTATTTGTAGTCTGAAATTAACAAATTCAGATAAATTAGTAAAATAAAAAAACAATTCTTCCCTCCCTTTACCTTCAGTTCTTCAAACCAAACAAGGCCTAAAGGTAGAGAGAGTATAATGTAGGACTGTAGGAGTATAAAACCAAAAAAAGGATTTACGCAAGAAAAGATTCAAGGGATAAGGGTCAGATAGGGTCTCGAACTCGAAAAAAAATGTCAAATAAGGTCATATTTCGGATGCTCTGTCTGGCCGACGCCATTTGGGGCGGTTCCCGATGGAATTTTTTGATGAAATTTTTTGAGCATCTTCCTCATTAAGTCTAGTTTACCCATACCAAATTTCAGCTAAAAACTCAATCGGGAAGGTAGTCAAATGAGTTTTTGAAGATAACTGTAAAGTTAAACAACGCCGTACATTTCGAAAAATTATTTGACTACCTTCCCGGTTGAATTTTTAGCTGAAATTTGGTATGGGTAAACTAGACTTAATGAGGAAGATGCTCAAAAAATTTCATTAAAAAATTTCATCGGGAACCTCCCCAAATGGCGTCGGCCAGACAGAGCATCCGAAATATGACCTTATTTGACATTTTTTTTCGAGTTCGAGGCCCTATCTGACCCTTATCCAAAGATTCAAAGAACGCTATTTGTCACGACGCCTACACTAGCAAGTAGCAAGGATGGAAGTTATACTGAAACCCAAAACGAAATATCCAACTAAAGTGCAATTTGGCTACAATATCTTTTTCATTTCAAGCTTCATTTATCAAGCCAGGACATCTCTAGAGAGTCTTCACTCTTCACTGTCTTAGCCTCTTAGGTTATGTTTGGTAAATGACTTACTAGCCATTTTTCAGCTTCTTTGACCATTTTTAATTGGATTCACCAGCTGAATTGATAAAATTGGTGTTTGGTAAATAGATGGTGTGTTTAGCTGGTTGGCCTTGAAAAGCTGACTTTGAAAACACCAGCAGTAGCAACGTTTGGGCTTGGCTGCTTTGTATATAATATTGAATACCGATGTACTCATGTACTCCTTTATGCAAAGTTCAAACCTACACGGCTACACTAGCTACCAATGGCATGTAGCTACCAATGGCATGCAGCGCACGCAAATTTACTATATTTATATTTAGCATCCCAGTAATGTATCAAGTGTTTTACGAGTATGATATGATTTTATGATTCAAATTATATTAATTATTTAGTTTTTTTTAAAAACTACAAATAAACATGAAGTTTTTTAATTTCATATTATTCAAATTAAATTAAAATGTTTCTTTTAATTTATTTTATTTTTTATGTAGTTGTATTTACATATTTCAAAATTTTCTAAAATATGACTGAACAGCTATTATTTTTATAAGAAATTGCTAAAAATAAATTAAAACATCAATGTTCTTATATGTCTTTTTACACGCAAACAGCTATTATTGAACAACTAATTTACCAATCATTACAAACAACAAGCTAACATAATCAGCCAACTAAAACAACTGACACAATCAGATATTATCAATCAACTGTCATAACCAACTAACAGCTATCAGCTAACAGTTGATTGTCAAACAAGGCCTTAGTGATGAAAACTGTTTGACATGAAAGTATTATCTTTCAAAGTTATCACACTTAAAATTTTAAAAGATATTCCTTCCATCTAGGGGTGGACCGGTTCCGGTTCGGGCCCGGTTCGGGCCTGGGCCCGGCCGGGCCTCGGTTCAAAAAAAGGAGGCCCGAGCCCGAACCGGTGGTGGGCGGTTCCGGTTCCGGGCCAGAATCGGGCCGGGCCGGGCCACCCAGAATGTTTTTTTTTTCTTCTTCTTCTCTTATTTAACCCCCTACCCCTCCCCCCTCCACCCCAAACCACCCCAAACCACCTCAAATGGCCCAAAATACTTAATCCAACCCAAAACTTAAAAAAAAAAAATCAAAAAAAAAAAATTAAATTCCGACCCGAACCGGGCCCGGGCCGGCCGGGCCGGGCCGGTTCACTAAACTGGAGGCCCGGACCGGTATACCACCGGGCCGGGAGGCCCGAACCGGAACCGAACCGGTTCACCGGGCCGGTCCGGGCCCGCACAGTAGCGGGCCGGTCCGGTTCCGGGCCGGTTGGCCCGGCCCGAGTCCATCCCTACTTCCATCCCGTGTTTGTCACCATTTTTTAACTTTGGTTCATCAAAGAATAGGCAATCATTACTACTACGTAGTACATTAGATCGCAATTTATGATTCAAAAGCATCCATATTTTACATACTCAAAACAAGCTCAGCATCGGTAAACTTTACATAAAAAGTTTTTTTAACACAGGGTCATATGTTATTTCTTTCAAAAATACAAATTTATTGAAAAACCCCCATATAATAATGATGCTAACATAATTTTTCATATAAAGTTCGGGATATTAAAATTACATATGCAAGTTGGAGATGTTTACCACACACCCTTCAAAATTGGAGGTATTTGAATTATTTTTCCAATTCAAGAAAAATAGTTTAGTAATTTGGTAATGATCTTTTTCGGAAGAAAATAAACAGAATTAAAGTCCATTTGTTAAAATGAAAATTAATTATTTGAATCAGCTAAATCTGTTAAATTATGGAGAAACTATATTTAAAATATATTTTAATAATAAAGTAAAGAAAAAATTATATGAAAAAAGAACAAGTCATCTACAATAACTTTAATCAGAAAAGTAACTCCAACCATAATTGTTTTAATTATTATACAATTTAACACGCTAAATCAAAAATTGCATGTGTGATTAAACCGTTGATTGATAAGATTGATAAATTGAAATTTTCAATTGAAAATAGAGATTATCATACAGGCTCTAAAAGTGCTTTATTATTGGCAATATGTATGAGCCAATTTTTAAGTGTTCCAGGACTCCAGGTGTGGTTTTCACGTAATTGTAAAAGGCCCACAAGAAGTGGAGCACTTGTTGCTCCTATTTTAGAAGGCACCCCAATGGCAGGTAAACAGGCTCAGAGAACCAGTATTCAGGCTCAGGATGGGTTCAGCCATTCACACGATGATGAAAATACCTGAACCCAAGTATGTGTCGGTGTGTGTGGATGTGTGCTGCATGGGATCAATTAAACGTATGCATTAAGCATTCAATTTGATAGAGTACGGCATGAGAAATGAGAACAAATGCGAGTATTACGAGACAAAAATGTTAAATTATCAAATCAAGAGATAAAAACTAGCTATATCCAGGAAACATCTCAGGTAGAAACACTCTAGTGGTTTGAGAAGCTGGCAGAGAAAAAGGCGGTTAAAATGTACATATGAGATCGGATAACTAACATACAAACCATTATGCAAACATGCACTAATTCATTTCATAAGCATTGCTTCAGCTCGATCCACAGAATCAGTAATAGACTGCGGTGACTGTGCTCAGTAAGTTAGTCATATCCTGAAAAAATACAAAATAGCATATTTTAGTAAGCCTGCAAATTTGGTTCTTCTACATTCCTACACCATCTAATATCAATTTTGGTCTCTTGAACACTTAAGAACTATGAAAACAAACTTTGCATTCCAACTTGATAGTATAAATCATATAATCAGGATTCAGGAATGAGCCTGATATTTTCCATCTTCAAGTTTTTAGTACTTCACAATTTCTTATATCAGGCTCATTCCAAATTATTATATGATTTATGCTATCAAGTTGGAATGCAAAGTTTGTCTTCATAGTTCTCAATTGTCAACGAGAAATGAAAAATAAACAACTCCTAGTTCCACCTTCAAAAAGATTAAAACTAAGTTGTCTTTACCTAAAGGCCGCAACACAACTACAGGAACAAACCTAAATTGTCATCTTTCTAAACTTTTTCTTCCTCATGTGTATACATTATGATAGAACAAAATAATTTTAAACGTATTCAGTTTGATAACAGGCCTAAACTCTACTGGTATATGGTTTTCAATAGCATGTAAAAGGCTCCTATATTTGTTATACAGAGTGTTCCTGCAAGAGAAGATTCAGCCTGCTCTTATTTTTAAAGCTGAATTATATATCTTCTATGGCTTCCCCATGCTTCAGTGCCATAGAAGTTTTAAGGGTATCCAGGAGCTAAAAAAAACTATGCAAAGAGGCTATAGACAGAGTAACCTTGGCTTATAGGTTCTTTTTTGAGAGAACAATTTGATCTTGTACTCTTCTGACAAACCATTCCAGATAAGCTGTGCCCTCATGGTCTAGCATTGGAGAATAAAGCTGCCTGAAAGCAGTAAGAAGTTATCATAAAGATAAAACAAATAAACACAAGATAAAAAAAAAAAAGTAAACAGTAAATACTGCAATTAACAAACAAAGAAAATGCATCTGTTCATTGAGTAGGTTCAGCAAGCAGTCCTTTATTTGTACAGACACATCACAGATGCATGGGTTCTGTCACCCACAACGTGACAATGCACCTACCCTAATAACCAGATTTCAGAACTTGAAAAATATCAACCAAGTATTCCCCCAGAAATGTTCAAGTATTGAATTGACGTAGTACTCTTAAAGACATGATTATATAAGTTATACCCATGAATAACTCATCTCCCAAGCATATATAGTTTAAAAGCAAAATTAAAATAACTATAAGCAGCAGGTTTATTGACTCCAGAATCCAGATACAGAAATTCAACACATATGACAGCCAAAAACAAATTTTAAGATTTTAATTTGAAAAAACTATCAAAGAAAAACTTGACCTAAAAAGCTGTGGAGCATATAAGTTGTTTATTTTTTTACAACGGAGCATATAAGTTGTTTATTTTTTACAACGAAGCATATAAGTTGTTGCAGAGACAAAGCTTCCCCATCTTTATCTCAGAAATTCTTAAATTGGGTCTTGAGTTTAGTTTCCAGACCTTTAATTAACTGTTTGTCCCATTCACTGCTTGCTTTTAATACATGTAAAGATGATTCTTGCATACCAACAATACAGGACAGGACAAGTCTTGCAAATAAATACTAAAAGATATAAGCTGCAATGAGTAAAGTCATAAACTCCTTTAAAATAGAATATGTTGGAACAAAAACTGAGAGAGAGATTGACCTGAATGATTTTACAGCATCAACAATTTCTCCTATTTGTACATCATTGGGGTATATCTGAGCAGATTGCAGACATATGAGGACAGTGTTAATGGAAGTTGAATGCTCAATGCTTTTTAGGACTTGTTCATCTTAAAGTTAACAATAACTTTAATCAGTACAAAGGGAGTATAGCACTATAGCATTTCATCTTAATACCTCTTGAGGACAGTGTTAATGGAAGTTGAATGCTCAATGCTTTTTCAATGGTTCCTTCATATTGGTTTCCTTGATGACTAAACTTTTTATATGTGAGCAAGTACAATCCTATGTTGGGAGAAGCTCAAAATAGAAACATGTGTAATTGTGTATAGCCTATGAAGTACACACGTGTCAAAATTAGGAAAGAAGTTAAAACCTAGACATTCTATGGACTCGTAACGTGGTGTAATATATCAATTGTATTGGACTCTGGAATATGTAATGGAATCAGTAGGGAATTGTACAACACTTCATTTCGGTAAACTTTTTTAGAACCCTTTAACACTTTTTCATCATAATGTCATCATTCACAATTAGAGAGCTAAGCCCTTTTCATGCTTAAAGCTTGGATTCAAATGCCATGTCTAATCAGAACACCAAAAATGCAATTAACCGGTACAACCTGATTGTATTATTTATCATACATATCAATCATTTGACAGATGCATACCTCGGCATGCTTCAGCTCCATTGTACCCTCCACTAGTTCTATTTCCAATTTGTGGTATTGATCAAACAACCCAGAAGAACTATCAAACTTTTCCTGACACAATGAGCTGTCATTGTTGGGGATGCATGTTCTAAGAGATAAACTGATGTGGTTCCCATCAACTTTAGCTACATGTAGACCATTAAGTGTACTATCAAGCGTTTCTATAGCCTCCAACCTGAATAGATGGAATATTATTTTAAACAACACTATGCAAGAACAAGAACGGAGAATAAAAGCATTTTCTGCTAAACAAATACCTCTTGAAAGCGCCCTCAAGATCTTGCAATGTCTTATAAGCTGTTTTGCTCTTCTCAAGTTGATTGCTAAGTTCTAAAAGCTTCATGACAAATTCCCAAAATTACATATTCATTCGACAAGAACATTCTTATTTCTGGAAGTTTAATCTACCACTCTTTATATGTTATCTCACATTGAATACTCCAACTAATTTTTCACTTTAATTTTCTCACTTTACATTTTATAAAGTGCACCAAAAACTTGGATATCAAGTAAACCTTAAAATTAAATTCCTCATGTGTGCTTCTTAAGTTCTCTTCATCTTCTATTTCTCCTGAGCAACATGCATGGTCACCCACCTGCATCAAACTCTAAGACAACACCTTTAGAAAAGAAAATATGTATTGACACAGTTGATTTACAAATAAGTAACAGTATGAGAAGTAAGCCTCTAGCAAATCAAGATGAAATGCTATAGTGCTATACTCCCTTTGTCCTCCAAAAAGAATCTGGTTTGATAAATGTAAAACAGTACAATTTCGGCGGGTTAAAACTATGCTAACATTTTTGAATTTATTTATTCTTTTAACTATACACATTATATGGGTCTTGTTTCAGACTCTTTTTTGGAAATCTTTTGACAAATTATATAAAAACTTGTCTTCATTGGATCTAAATGGACTCGTATTTTTTAGACACAAGAAGTTATTTGAAACATGGCTATTATTTTTGGGACAGAGGAAGTATTGCAAATAATATTAAGATTCAGCATCATAGAGTTTATTAACACAAATAAATACACTAGACCAGTGTTGTCAATCCCGGATAGCGGAGCGTAGCGGATAGCGGGATGACCGCTATTTAGACGATATATATGCAAAATACATATTATATGTATGCATGTATTACATGTCATGCACATATCAATTCCAGGAAATGATATATCACAAATATGTGAGTCAAACGTCATGAAATTTATACTTTCTAAATTACCAATAAAGAGGCATTAGAGTCTTAAACAAAACAAACAAATAATTTAAGTACCTTACCTCTGAGCATTAGAACTTAAGTTCATTATATCTCATTATTCTTAATAAATTTGTGTCATTAATATCTCATTATAAGAAACCGTGGTTGTTGGGATGCCTTGGACTACCTAATCTAACTTGACATGGAGATGTATGATATAGGCTATGTTTGATCTTGTTTTCTGTTTTGAGTTATTTTAGTAGTGTTTACTATTATTTAGTAGTTTTTTTGCCCCACATGTTCTGGAGGTTGAATTGAGGTTATTTTTTTACTCCAAAAACATCTAAAAGTAAAATGTACTCCCAAATTCCCTCAAAACTAGCACTCAAGTAGCTTTGTAATTATAGCGTCTGCTATAGCCGCTATAGTGTCCGCTACAGCCGCTATTGCCAACCGCTCCGCTATAGGCAGTCTCATAGCGCCTACACCCTGCCCCGCTATCCCGCTATAGCCCGCTATTGACATCACTGCACTAGACATATTTTTTCAGCATAGAGTCACTCAGTCATTACTGCAATCAGAAGCTAGGTATGTGTTATCTTTTAAGTCCCCATATGTGAGAAAGAGCACTCACATACAGCCTCGAAAACCTACATTTATTGACCAAGAGGGATAACCTCATTAATCCAAGACACAGTTGCAAGTATTGTTCACAAGATAGGTTTTAAGGCATTCTTTTAGTAGCCATAGTAACTATGTCTCTCTATTGATTATACCTATAGAAGTGTAGAGCATTCTAGACTATTCATAAACGAATGAAAGAACCTGTGATTCCAAAAGATCCAACGAACAGCATAAACCTTCAACCTCACATCCCAATTTCTCAGATTCTTGAAACAGGAGAAAAACATTTAGGAATCATGCAAGGAACTCATGAAACCATGTTCATTATCAAGTTTTAAACAATAAGTTGTGACAGCACCTTCCACATATCTTCTAGAAAGTTCCTCAATTTCCTTTGACATTTCTTCATTTTTACCCTCCAAGGAGCTTTGCTCATTTTGAAAATACCCCACAAGTTCATCTGAAATATCAATCACCACAGCAATAGTAACAAGCACAATTTCCCTGACAAACGCATTAAGGATGCAAAAAGGCAGAGTTTTACCTATATCCCCATTAGCTAATAAGTCTATATCTGATGTGTCTGATAGTATTTGATCTATTTTGCTCTGCAACATGAATTCAAAAAAATAAATAAGTAGATATTGGAGAGACAGAAGTACTTACCTAAGCTTACAATATATACACGGTCGAAGCAATATAGTATATAAAGAGCGTTATGCGTGGTATTCATCCTATACTGAATAACGGACCTCGAACTGAAGAGTGCAATCGTTCAGTAATTTCTCCGTATCTGAAGAGGAAAGTGCAGGAGCATCCTTGGAGTTTTGTAAGATATCTCTAAACTCCACGATTCGACTGTGAAGGTATCAGAAATCATTTTAAAACCAAAAAAAAACGGTGACTTGGTATAACTTTATCAAGGTATTAAGAGAGACCTGCGTAGTGAATCGAGATCCAGAGATGGCGAAGAAGAGGTAACAAGGGTTCGTTCGGCCATTTCTCATAGACCTTCTTCTCAAACTCTCGGCATTTTCGTTGGGGAAAAAAATGTTCGTTTCCACACTTCCGCAGTGCTTTCAAGTTTCAACGACTCCAGTGGCGCCGTGTATTTTCAAACTCCACTCATGAGTGTGAAATGGGCATATAGGAGGTGAATTGGATGTCTACAAGACTACAAGGATAGCTTTATATTAAAAAGGGAAAACTGTCAAATAGGTACTCGAACTTTCATAAAAAAGTTAATTAAGTCCTTCTATAGGAGGTTCTGTCCGGCCGTCACGATTTGGGGCAGTTTCCGGTGGAATTTTTTGATGAAATTTTTTGAGCATCTTATTCACCAAGTCTAGTTTACTCATACCAAATTTCAGCTAAAAATTCAATTGGGAACACATTCAAATTAATTCTTGAAGATAACTGCGCATTTGTGCGTTCTCGAATTAATTTGAATCCGCTCCCGATTAAAATTTTAGCTGAAATTTAGTATGAATAAACTAGACTTGGTGAATAAGATGTTCAAAAAAATTCATCAAAAAATTCCACCGGGAACCACCCTAAATCGCGACGACCGGACAGAGTCTCATACAGAAGAACTTAATTGACTTTTTTATGAAAGTTCGAGGACCTATTTGACAGTTTCCCTATTAAAAATGTACCAACTTTGACAGATTGCCAAGTATAGTATTTGGGGACTAAGGTAGTACATAATTTTAACTCTAAGTGCACATCTCAAACTTTTTGAGTGTCAAGAAACTTAAAAGAATTCAGAAAACAATTATATAAATTAGAATCTATGAACCACCAAATATCATTTTTAGAAAAATAACAATAACATTCAAGCCTTAGTCCCAAAAGATATTAAGGGCGGCTATCATGAATTGATACATGATATCACCACCAAAAGGAAAAAAAAGAAAATAAAGATAAAAAGATAAGATATTACAAAAAGATAATATAAAAAGACATGAATATACCTAAAAATGATAAAATAAAAAGGATAAAAATAATGTTTATATATATAAGGATAAAAGAATAAAAAACAAGAAGAAGAAAAAGACGAGGGGAAATAATAATATGAGATCACTACTCCACACGAATACCCGTCTTCCACTTTGCTCTCTTCAAAGTCATACCCCCATCCAACCCAATGCAAAGAAGAAGTATATCACTTCGGACTCCCCTAACCCACGTCTGTTTGGGTCTTCCTCTCTCTCTCTCTCTCTCTCTCTCTCTCTCTTCCATATGTCTCTTCTTCACACATCTCAACACGCCTGGCAGGGGCATCACTCGGTCTTCTACGCACATGCTCAAACATCACTTTTAGATATATAAAAATTAAATGAAATATTATTCTAAAATTATAACTTCTAGAATATTATTCTAATTAAAATTATGTTCCAAAATTTAAGAGATAACTATGTATTTTGAGATAGAGGTAGTACCTAATTTTAACTCAAAATTCACGTTCTCAAAAAAATACGTCATACCTTCTTAAATAAGTGAAATGGCCAATTTCTCACATTTGAAGTGCGCAATAAAGTAAGGGTAATATAAGAGTAACTTTATATTAAAAATTTACCAAATATAGATTTGTGAAGTTTATTTTGGACTTGCCCAAAAGGAAAGTGTATGTGAAGTTTATTTGGGACCAGAGGTCATATTATTATTTTTTTTTAAAAAACTATTACTACATAATACATTAATAAATAAAGCGTAATCAAAGTAAAAACATGTTAATAGTGTAAAATTCAACATTTTCCACTTATTTAAAAATGGAGAAAGTATACATCCCAACTTCTAAAAAACAAAATTGATGTAAACTCAAAGGTGCACCTCCCAAACTATGTCATATCAATTAGTGATGTGAGATCAAATTCAGATCAAAGTAATGATGTGGATATATCCATCTCAAAGGCTATGTTCCAATTCATAGTATTATATATGCAAAACACAAGTGCTCAACTCTATTTATTAGAAATTGTATACTCATATCCACTAAAAATATGAGTACATTATGAACATAAAAGATGCATTCGATGTTGAAAATGATTATGATATATATAGATTATACTCTACATATCGTACGCATACGAACTATACGACCAATATGATATGAAGAGCGAGTTAACAAAGTTTCAAGATCAAATAATATTGAATTCCCACTACTAATATAAAAAACGTTTCGAGATCAAATGCCTCAAAAGTAACTTTTCATATCTTCATACCAATGAGTGGTATGAAGAGCGAGTGAACAAAGTTTCAAGATTAAACAATATTGAATTCTCATTGTGTTGCATGAAAGGTCAAGTTCAACTTCCGTTTTTACAAAGGCCTCAAGAGTTACTGGTTATACTAATGAACGGGAATAAACCTAGAAGCTCTCATTGCAAAGGCATATAATACCATGTTCTCATTCAAAATTCACACATACTTTTAAAATACTGCATCTCCCGATCTCAATTATTCATGTTACGACACAAGTGTTCATATGGTGTTTCATAATCAACGTATTAAATACCTACATAATCATCTTTAGGGACATACAATACCAAGGATATGTTTATATAATTAGTTCAAAAATAAGACGTTCTCAACAAATATAAGTATGTATTATCAATATTATAATCAACTAGATACATGATTTTCCATTTGTTATAATAACCCATAAACACATGCTAAAACTAAAACACAAAATCATTTTATCCCGTGCACGGCACAGGTAACGATACTAGTAAGGTAATATTTATGAAATTTAGAAATGTACAATCTGAGCTCATTACGACTACCTCTGTCCCTTTTACTTAGAGACATCGTTGATTTTTCCAGTCAATTAAAAGGTGATAAACTTTGATCTATTATTTTAACAAATAATTTATTTATGTAAAACTTAATAAATTTATACTGTTATGATAATATTTTTAACAAATAACATTTTAATATAATTTTCATATAATCAATATTACTATGTAAAATATATAATCGTTCAAAGTTGAACAACTTTGACTTGAAAAAAATGTTTAGCTAAACAAAAAGTGATGGAGGGAGTAATATACTTTATGTAAATTTCTCACACAAGATTATGAATGGAGAGGAGCACACATGAGCACATTCAAATTTTATCATGAAATCTAGTATACTCTCGCAATTATCCTTGATTTCAATACTTAGACGAAAAAAATTGAAATAGTGTTATTGAGGATAACCATGGTTCTATAAGATTTTACTTGTTCCATTCCATTTTATTTGTCTTATTTTTCTTTTAGGTCTTTCCAAAATAAACGACACATTTCCTTTTCTTGAAAAACAAATATATATGGTTTACATCATTTCAATTTATTATGCTCAAATTTCAATCACAACTTTTACATTTTTCATTATTGTGTTAATGATTATGTCAAACCAAAAAAGACACATAAATGGGACCGGGTAATACTATTTATTGTGACCATTTCCATTGGTTACTTTCTCTAAGCATGATACTACAAATTAGGGGTCAAATTCGATGGTCATTCATATTTTTAATTATTTTCTCATGTCAGTTCTTTACATTTACTATCTCTGTTTCTTGAATCTATAGATAATACATTTGAGAGGTACAATTATGGAAATTTTTGCGACATGTCAATTCTAAGCAACTCTTTTATAATAATATTCTAGATTCTCTTTCTAAATTAAAAATATCTTCTAAAATTTTGAAGTAATTAAAATCTCCCTCAAATCTTTCGTATATTAAAATTTGAATTGCTCAAAATTCGAATAAAGCTTGGTGTTAGATTAGAACTAGAATTCAACAACGTTGGAATTCCTTAAAAATCAAAATTTTAAGATATAGCTTTCTGATTTGAAGTAAATAAGTAATTAAAATCTGCCTCAAATCTTTCGTAGATTAAAATTTGAATTGCTAAAAATTCGAACAAAGCTTGGTGTTAGATTAGAACTAGAATTCAACAACGTTGGAATTCCTTAAAAATCAAAATTTTAAGATATACTACGTAGCTTTCTGGTTCTCAAAAAAAAAAAAAAAAGATATAGCTTTCTGATTTCTAACAACGTTGGTTTTAAAAGAATCCTATTATCACAAATACCAATAACGAGCTTCCTTCAAAGTCTCCTAAAAAATATACTACAAATCTATAAACTTTAACATTTTACTTTTAAAATAATAATTTTTTGTTTTGCTTATATAAACGGAGTATTCTATATTATATAATGAAATAATTTCTATTATATGACCAAAATATGAAAAATAGATAAAAAAATGATTTACTAATTTTTAGTGAATATAATTATATTTAAAATTATAAAAAAATATTAATACGTGATTAATGTAACATTCTATTTTGTTGGAAACGTATGTCTTTCGAACACATTTTGGTTTGGAGTATATCTATAAATAATACATCTATATCTATAAATAATACATTTGAAAGATACAATTATGGAAAGTTTTGCCATGTGTCATCTTCTAAGCAAACTTTCATTATAATATTTTAGATTTTTTTTCCAATTTAGTAAATAAACTATACTTCCGTTAATTAGTATTAAAGGTAGATTAGAACTCATCTTACGTTTAATTCAAAGCTAAGGTAATTCAAAAAATAAAATCTCATATTTATTTTTAAGTGCTATAACTTTTCAATTTGTACTTTGATGGTTACAAAAAATATACCATAATTTATAACTTTTTATTCTCTTTCATATGAGATCAATCTATCTATCTATAGATGATACATTTTAAAGATACAATTATGGAAAGTTTTGCCATGTGTCATCTTCTAAGGAAACATTAATTATAAAATTCTAAATTCCCTTTCTAATTTGGTATGTTCGTTAATTATTCTTCCCATACATTAGTATTTAACTTAGATTAGAACTGATGTTACGTTAATTTATGACTGATCTCTAAGTTGGAATCCTACGTCCTCTTTTAAAAAAACTTCCTAAAACTATGCAACTCAAATAATAAAATCCCATGTTTATTTTAAACTAAAATAACTTTTGAATTTGTACTTTAATTGTTACAAAAAATATACTACGTATTAAATTTCATAATTTTTTAATATATCTCATTATGACACCGATATTGAATATATAAAAATAAAAAATAGTTTAATACTTTAAAAAACATTTTTATTTTAAAGTGATATATCTTTTTTATTTG